CCCCCCCCCCCCCCCCCCCCCCCCGCACAGGAGCTGAGGGGCGGGGTGGACAGAGGCAGTGGGAGGGCCAGACTGGTCCCGGAAGGCCAAGGGGACCGGAGCCGACCTTCTGTCCCCGCTTGTCGCCAGCCGAGGCCAGCCAGCAGATGGCTGAGCTGTCAGAGGTGCTGGTGCTCAGGAGGGAGGCCCAGGACCAGTAGCAGAGGGAGGTCACCCAGCTGCGGGCCCAGGTCCTGAAGCTGCAGCAATGCTGCCAGTCGGTGCATCCGGGTGTGCCCAGGGCTCCCTCTTGTCATGGCCCCGCCACACCCAAGCCCCCTCCTACCTGTCCTCACCTCATGGGGCTTTTGGCTCGGCCAGGCCCCAGACCCCTCTCTGCGTCAGAGTCCGAGTTGGAGGGGATCTCAGAGAGCCCTCATTCTGCCCCCTCCTTGTCCCAGGGAGGGGACCAAGTCCCAGAGAGGGTCACAGCGTGTTCCAGGAACCAGGCCGCATGACTCTCCTGCCTTACGTGGCCTCAGGCCTCACTCTACGTGACTTCTTACTTAAAGGGCTGCCAAAGCCTCACTCATGTGCCTGGGAAGACCTGTCGGAAGTGGTGGGGAGGCCTGGGGGGAGGGGTGCTTACCAGTCTTGGGTCCTTCCAGCATGGGGCTGAGACTGAGAAGTTGCAGCAGCAGCTGGCTTCGGAGAGAGTAATCCAGATGCGGCTCCAGCATGAGGTGAAACTGCCCTCGGCTCCTGCCTCTGCCCTCGAGAGACCGTGACCCAGAGCAGGGAGCTCGGGGCCCTTGGTCGGCTGCCTGACTTTCCTGGGAGGACAAGCTCCTTGAGCCGGGACTGGGTCTGTCCCTTTGCACACCCTCAGCGTCTGGCATGGGGCCTAGCAGGTGGTGTCTGAGTGGAGTAGAGTCCAGGGACCTACCTGGGGGCACCCTGTGTCAGAGTCTGGGCCTCTCGCCTCTTAGCCCCCTGGGGAAAGGGCGGGCTGGGTGGGCCTGGGTCCCAACAGAACCTGCAAGTGGCTTCCCAGCAGCAGGACCTACGGGAGAAGTACACAGAGCGTGGGGGCATGCTGACCCGGGCTCAGGAGGAGGTGAAGACCCTCCGCCAGCAAGCGCCGGCGTCCGCTGACCCTGTCACCCGCTACACACATGCCGTACCTCTGGTGAGGATCCCCGGCTGCCCGCTTTTGCCCGTGTGCTTGTGCCTCAGCCCCGCTGGCTGATTTCCTTTCTGTGAGTAGGGACTGGAGTTCTGTGGGGATCCCCTGGTAATACCCCTTCTCCACCACAGGAGGCCCTTCCTGGTTTTCAGGAGGCCTTGGCTGAGGAGCTCAGAAGGTCTATAAGGATTATCTCGGACCCTGTGTTTTTTATGGAAAGGTGCGCTGCTGGGACCCCCAGGCCCTTGCCTGACCCACACTCACTTTCCCAGAGTGGGGAGGGGGTTTGCTTCTGACATTCCTTCACTCCTGGTGCCCCTCGTTCTCTGCCCCAGCCCCTCCCCCGCCCCACCCTTTTCTCCGTCCCCATGTCTGGGCCCAGTCATTTCTCCCCAGGACTTTTTCACGTATTGGGGCCCGCAGGGACTTTGCAGTTTCAGCTAATGTTGCCTTGGGACAGTGAAAGCCCTTTTCTCTGTTGAAGGAATCATGGGAAGACTGAGAAGGAGGAGATGTCACACCTGGGGTGAGATGGCTAGGGGCTCTCCCATCAACCACCCTCACTTTTCAGCAGTCAGACAACCACCTGCAATCCTGCCGCCCTGGAGAAGGTCCTATGCTCTGGGCTGGCTGGGTTGAGTTGTTCTGGAAGGGGCTGATCCCTTTTCTTTCAAATCTTGCCCCATAGGTGGTCATCTGATTTAGGCTGTTCCAGGTGGGGACCGAAGCCTTTCCTTCACCTTGACAGAGGCTGAGAGTGAAGGAGCACTGGCCTGGGAGCTGGAAACATTTGGGACCGAGTCCCAACTTGGTCCCTTTATTGGCTATGTGTCCTTGGCCAATGGCTTGAACTGTCTGAGCCTTACTAAAATGGATTTGTTCCTATGGCAACTAGCTGTGGGATGGGCTGTAAAGGTTAAATCATGGAGGGGAGCAGAAGGAATATTATTATCCTTGCCAGTCTGTTCTGTGCAGCAGGGTGGGGGGTACTAGGAGAAAGCAGGTTTTGTGCAGTGTTTGGTGACCCTCCTTCCTACCTGGTGCCTGGGCTGGGTGTTTGAAGCCTCGAGGCGGGTACCCAGCTCCCTTTTCCCCTAGTTGGGACAGAACTGAGGAGTAGCCATTGGATCTATGTGTAGACTGGGGCAGAGAGCATGAGAGCTCCTCAACCCTGGTGGCTGGAGATGTCCTAGGGGCAGGTGGAAGGGGGGCGCTGGGGGCTCTGCCTGGGGTTGGCCTTCAGGGGCACAGAAAGACTTTCCTGTCTCCCTGCCCAGATACAGGCTGTGCCGCAGTGAGGTACAAGAGCAGGACCGGGGCTTAGAGGCTGAGAAGGGGTTACTGACAGCAGAGGATTTTGTGGCAGAAGATTTTGTGCCTGTGGAGGAATTGGTGCCTGAGGAGGAACTGGGGGCCACAGAAGAGGTGGCGTCAGCTGAGGAGGGGGCAACAGAAGAGGCAGAGCTGGTGTCTGAGGAGGCCGAGGCCGGGGAGGAGGTGGAGCCGGAGCTGGATGAGGCAACGCAGGGGAACGTAGGGACCTCAGCGCTGGAAGCTAGCGGCTTGGGCCCCTCTCACCTAAACATGAAGCGTGTCCTCCAGCAACTGGCTAACTGGCTGGATGCGCGTTATAGTCGGCAGTTGAGGCTGAAGATGCTCCAGAAAGGTGAGTGCTCCCACAGGGGCCTCCCTCGGGCCAGCCAGACCAGCTACAGATCATCAATGAAAGGTGAGGGTAGGTGAGCCCCCCAAATGCTCACTTACCCCAGCTTGGCCTCACCCAGTGTGGTGATTTGCATGGAATTTGCATATCATTTGCATAGGCACCTCCAGGTTCCTTCAGTGGGAACTATGGCCCCAGGGCTCATTTATGTGGAATTTGCTTAGGATTCCAGATCTCTACCCCTTTTTCGCCTGGGGGTCTGGGCTGAAGGTCATGACCAGGACTGCAGCCCCCTACTGTGCCTCTGCTTCCCGTCTCTGCTGCCCCCTTCTCCCTGTCTCCCACTCTGCCACCCGATCCCCGAGGCTCCCCAGCCCTGCAGTAGTGACAGCAACGGGTACAGGGAGCGGATCAGAGCAGCAGCCCGGGGTGCTGACCCAGCCGTTTCAGAGGCTGGAGGAGGACTGGGCCAACCATCCTCCCAGGGCCTGGGAGGAAGAGGGGTGTTCTGGGGCCACCCAGGCCATTGGGACAAAGGCCTCTGCTAGCTAGCAAGGGTCGCAGCTGGACCAGCCCCCTGGGTGAGTCTGAAGATGGGCTGGGTCTCCTCCAGGGTGCCGGGGGGTGGGTCAGGGTCTCCTCTCCCCAGCTGGAAGCCCCAAAGTTTGGGGAGTTGCACCTGCTGAGTGTGAGCCCTGCCTTCAAGGAGCTCACAGAGACACCAAAGGTGATTTAGTGACTGGCATTGTTTCCTTTAGTCCTCGCACCCCTGAAGGTAGCTGTTACCAGCCCTTTGTTAGGTGAGAAAACTGAGGTTTGGAGAACTTAAGTAAGAACTTAAGATCATTTAAGAACTTAAGATCACTTAGCTGGAGTGGGTCTGAGCCTGTTCTCCTCACTCCTATGCCAGAATGACTTTTCCTGGCCTGTCCCTCCCCTCTGACCCTGTCCTGGTGCCTGCCTGGCCTGCTCATCAGCCGTGAAATTTGTAGCCTCACCAGCATGTGTGGGCTGCCCCCACTGCAGTGGCCGCTTGGTCACTGCTGGGCAACCTCATCAGGGTCACCGTGTAAGGTTGTGCAGTTTGGAAACTGAACGGTGACCTCTTTGGCCAGCCAGTGGGCAGCCTGTAAAACTATCAATCGCGGCTGTCTTTCTGATACAGCGACAAGGCCTCGGCCCCTGCCTGCTGTCCAAGCCCTCAGTTTACCCCTCCCTTCTCTTCCAGGCTTTGCTGGTTCCCAGCAGCCTGCAGAGGCCCCACAGACAGCCTGAGGCCCCTCCTTCAGCTGCTGGGCCAAGTCCCACCTACCCCAGACCCTCCTTCCCATCCTCCCAAACAGGACCCCCCTGTCTGTCACCGGCCTGCCTTCTGTCCCCATGAACCTGGGCTGGGGCTTGAGGACCCAAGCCTCGACCCTTTGCAGCTGGTGCAAAAGCTAGTTCAGGTTGCTGGGCCTGGGGTCACATGGTAGCCCAGGGGATGGGGGTGCCTGAGGGGAGGTCTGTCTGCTGCCAGACCTGGCTTTGAGCTGGGGGTGGGGCTCAGACACTGGTGTAGGAAGGTGTTCTGACTACCTTTCTAACGGCAGGCCCTTGACCCTCAAGGTAAAGGTGGCCCGTGAGTCCTTGCTGACTTTTAGGGACCTCGCCTTCTTCCTCCATTCTTGGTCCTTTCTTCTCAGTCCCTAACTACTGTTGGTAACCAAGAGTATCTCTGTGTGTGGGTGAGGGGTCCCTCCGCCCACTGGGGGCCTCCTCCCACCCCGCCCCCGTCTCCCTGCCCACTCTCCTTCCCCCCGGTCCTCCCCTCAGTCCTCTGTGCCTCTCCTTTCTTCATTCTAAATGTTCTGCCCTCTCCCACTCTTTACTCCTAAACAGCTGGAGTCTGGGGCTCCCCCACCTGCTGCCCACTTCAGTCTGGCTCTGTTCCTGCTGTGTTGCTCACTCTCCTGTGGCTTGTCAGCCTGTGCACCTGCTGGTGCAGGAAATAAAGGAACTGTGCACTACCTGGCCTGGACTCCGGCGTCTTTCTCTGGGAGCATGTGTGCCTGTGTGTGTGCCCCTGCATGCAGCTTTGCTGGGGCAAAGTTGTAGAAAGAGGATGGGCTCCAATACTGAATCATGTGCCATGGACTTTTGTTAAATGCATTACTTAGTCATATCAACAACCCCTGGGGGGTGGTGGGTGATCTGGTAAATGGTTATTAGAGGATGAAACAGGCCCAGGCGGGTCTAACAGCTAGTTGCAGAACTGGGATGTGAACCCAGGCCCTCAGGCCTCTGGAGCTCATGCTCAGACAGGCTCCTTTCCCTGTTTTCTGCTCCAGGGACTCTGGCCCAGTGCCCTGCCTGTGAGGGGAAAGGCACGGGCGAGAATCACCCACTGTCTTAGGTAAACATCCCTCAGACCTGGAATCAGACCTGGAACAGCATTTGAAAACAAGTAGTTTGTTTGGAAGATGATCCAGGAATCACTCTTGGGGACAGTGGGGAATTGAGAACTGAAGGAAAGCTAATGAAAGGGAGTGCTAGGCACCGAGGCTAACCCTACAGGGAACTCTGGGAAGAAGTGTAGCCTTTTGCTACTCAGTTGTGGTCTGTGGACCAGCGTCACCCACATCTCCTGGGAGTTTGTCAGAAATGCAGATTCTCAGGTCCCACCCCAGACCCAAAGAGTCAGAATCTCCGTGGTAACAAGGACCCCGGGGAAGGCACATGCATACTAAAGTTTGGGACCCACCGAGATGGACCCCACCCAAAGGGGGAGGAGGCTGGGCATGCCTCGCCCAGCTGACATTTGTGTCTGACAGTCTTGGGGGCATTAACATGTTGTGTTCTGTGCCCTGTAGGTGGGAGAGGAAAGCCCCTTGTTACAAAATACCAATGCTTTCAGTGGAATATGGACACCACATGCTGGAGTGGATATATATTTTTAAGAGTTTATTTATTTATTTTGAGAGATAGCATGAGCAGAAGAGGGGCACAAGCAAGAGAGAGAGAGAATCTCAAGCAGGTTCCATAATGTTAGCGCAGAGCCCAACATGGGGCTCGAACTCAACAATGTTGAGATCATGACCTGGGCCAAAATCAAGAGTCAGATGCTTAACCGACTGAGCCACCCAGGTGCTCCCGGAATGCGTATTTTTAAATGGCTATGCTGTATTTTTAAATTTTTTTTTAAAGTTTTTATTTTTGAGACAGAGACAGAGCATGAACGGGGGAGGGTCAGAGAGAGAGGGAGGCACAGAATCCGAAGCAGGCTCCAGGCTCTGAGCTGTCAGCACAGAGCCTGACATGGGGCTCGAACTCACTGACCGCGAGATAGTGACCTGAGCCAAAGTCGGACCCTTAACTGACTGAGCCACCCAGGCGCCCCCCCCGGTGTGGGGTTTGAATTCGCAAACTGTTAAGATCATGACCTGAGCCACAGTTGGATGCTCAACTGACTGAGCCACCCAGGAACCCCAAGGTTTTCCTGGTTTAAACAAAGTAGACCTCACCTTCCCCACTCTTGATAAAGAATACCGGGAGGCAAGGGGCGCCTGGGTGGCGCAGTCGGTTAAGCGTCCGACTTCAGCCAGGTCACGATCTCGCGGTCCGGGAGTTCGAGCCCCGCGTCGGGCTCTGGGCTGATGGCTCAGAGCCTGGAGCCTGTTTCCGATTCTGTGTCTCCCTCTCTCTCTGCCCCTCCCCTGTTCATGCTCTGTCTCTCTCTGTCCCAAAAATAAATAAACGTTGAAAAAAAAATTAAAAAAAAAAAAAGAATACCAGGAGGCGAAAAGACACTAAGACATTATGCGGAAGAAGATAGGGTCTAATTATACATAAAACTCATTATGGTACCAAAAAAAAAAAAAGCCCAAGTCCTTAACACTAAATCCCTGGAAGAGAACATAGGAGTTCAAAATTCTTTTTTTTTTTTCTTCTGTTTATTTACTTATTTTTGAGAGAGAGAGCATGAGCAGGGAAAGGGCAGAGAGAGAGGGAGACAGAGAATCCCAAGCAGGCTCCATGGTGTCAGCACAGAGCCCAGTGCAGGGCTTGAATTCATGAACCATGAGATCATGACCTGAACTGAAACCAAGAGTCAGACACTTACCTGAATGGGGCACCCAGGCGCCCCAGGAATTCAAAATTCTTTTTTTTTATGTTTAATTATTTTTGAGAGAGAGCTAGAGCGAGAGAGAGAGCAAGTAGGGGAGGGACAGAGAGAGAGACATACACACACACAGAATCTGAAGCAGGCTCCAGGTTCCGAGCTGTCCGCACAGAGCCTGAAGGGTGCTTGCTCGAATTCACAAGCAGCGAGATCATGACCTGAGGCGAAGTCAGGTGCTTAACAGAGTCACGAGGGGCCCCTAGGAGTTCAAAATTCTTAAGGGAATCTTCTCAGATGTCCCATGCAAGGTGTCGTGGTCTCATGCCTTTCATTCTATGACTTAAAAAAAAAAAAAGTTTATTTATTTACTTTTGAGAGAGAGAGAGAGAGGTAAAAAGAGAAATCCCAAGCATGCTCTGCACTGTCAGCATGGAACCGGACCAGGGGCTTGAACCCACAAACCGTGCGATCATGACCTGAGCCGAAACTAGGAGCCAGGCGCTTGACTACTTGAGCCACCCAGATGCCTCTCATTCTAGGACTTTAACGGGGGAGACTTGCTGGGCTTCCAATTTCGGCTTCCTTTGTTATCTGCACTCTTACATTCAGATCTTGGGCTTGAGTTAATGGTTGGCTAACCTGCGCCTAACATTTTCTTCCTCCAGAGATTCTCTGATGATTAACAGTAGCCAATCAATGCCATGGCCAAAAGCAGGGGCCCGCCCCGGGGGGGCTCCGGGGGTGGGGCAGGTGCATAAGCCAGTGCTCCTTCTTCCACGTGTGCCCCATCCTGATTCACCGGGATGAGAATTTAGTGTGGTGTTGCCACAACACTCCAGCGGTTACCAGCACCCTGCAAAGGGGGCTGGCTAGTGAAGGATCACATTTTAGAATCCCAAGATGAGTGTGTTGTTTCCTAAAACCCTCTGTTTTCAGAGGAGGGCCCCTCACACACCCCGCCCTGCCCCGAGGCAGACTTGGAGATAAGGATTTGAGTGTGAGTGGTTTATTTGGGTGGTGATCTCAAGTGGGACCACCGAGGGCGTGAGATGGGGAAGGGAAGCACGTGAACAAAGGAGAGCCTTGAGCTCGGTCCTGCAGGGGGATTCTGGAATTTGGGGAGACGGAATTATCCTGCCCAAGGGATGAGGGAACTAGGGTATTTACCCTCCAATCGAGGGTGCGTGTGGAAGGATGTTGCCCACGGGCTCAGAACAGTGAGGGGAATACGGGCGAAATGTCCACAACGCCTGTAGCAGCCACTCACCCCGCAATGTGACAGATATTTATTGGATAACCCCCTGTTCTTGGAACAGGGGATACAGCAGAGAGGAGGGATGTGGGATCCACACTCTTACAGAGTCTCCCTTCTAACTGGGGGAGGTGGACAATAAACTAACATACAAAACAATGACAGGATGTGACCTAGGGAGAAAAAGGGGAGCCAGCCAGATTTATGCCTGGGAAAAGCCTTCCAGGCACAGGGAACAGAAAGGGCAAAGGTTCTGAGCAGGAATGAGCTTGGTGCACTGTGTAAGGAAGGGAAAGGGAGAGAGGAGGAAGACACTTGGCACCTGCCATGGGGACAGCAGGGCTGACCTAGGACTTCGACAAGGAGTTTAGGTTGGATTCTAAGTGCAGCAGGAGGCATTGGAAGGTGAAAACCTGGAGGGGCGCAGTTTGATTTCTCTTTTAGGAAGAGGACTCTGGTTGTGACCCTACCACTGTTTTCCACCTGCACGAGTAGATTCTCATTCAATGTTAGGCTCTGGGGATACCGAGACGAATGAGTCATGGGCCCCCGTCCCCAAGAGGGTTCTCCGTTCTCTCTGTTGCCTCAACCGTGTCTCCACCAACTCCCCTCTCCTGCCCCACACTTGACACAATGTGATCCATTGGAAGCTAGTTTATTTTGATTGGTTTTTCATGGGGCTGGGCTGGGCTGGGAGAGGCTGGGCTCTGAAGCTCCGTTCTAGGGATGTTGGTCCCCGTCCTCTGCACTGCGGCGGCCGAAGTCCATCCATCCGTACGCTGCTTCTTCTTCCTCCAGCCACGGTCCCTGCTTCTTGGACAGGTCTGAGGGTCAGAGGTGGGAGAGGACGTGAGCATATGGGAAGGACATCTAAGCCACTAGAAACCAAGGCCAGGGCCAACCCTGGCTGGGTGAGGCAAGCAGGGATGGCCGTCACAGCTCCTACCTGCCACCAGCTGTGGGGGACCCTGGAGCCCTAGCTGCCGTCGGTGGTGAGAGGCTGGGCCCAGCCGGTTCAGCCAATGTGGTTCCAGGCCCCTGTTGGCCCCTGGACCCGAGGGTGCATCCTGCAGCTGGGAGCGGGGCTTCCAGGAAGCTTCAGAGAAGGCGGTCAGAGCCAGTGCCAAGATCAGCACGCACACACACAGTCGTTGCATCTTGTCTGGAAAGGACAGAGGGGCGGGGCTGAAAGGTGGAGCCGTCTAGGGACCCAAAGGCAGGGGCCTGGACCAGATGGACTCTAGGTGCCTCCCTGCTGGCAGGTGCAGCGCCGTGTGGGGCTATGGGCCGGTCCTCAGTTCGCTTTTCCAGTTCCTTCAGCTGCGCAACCCCTGCTCCCTGCAACTCCCAAGCCCCGCCCTTTTCCTCCTCACCCACCCTAATTACAACAGTGGCTTTTCTCCAAGGAATTTACAACTTAGAGCAACGGTTTCCAAACTTCTGCAGAATTTGAGGCCATGTGAGTGGTCCTGTAGATGTTTACATCTCGTAATTTAAAGTGAACTTTTATGTTTTTATTAAAAGTTTTTTTAATGTTTATTTATTTTTGAGAGGGGGGGTGCGGAGGGGCAGAGAGAGAGAGGGAGACACAGAATCCGAAGCAGGCTCCAGGCTCTGAGCTGTCAGTATGGAGCCCGACGCAGGGCTCGAACTCATAAACCGTGAGATCATGACCTGAGCCTAAATCCAGAGTCAGGTGCTCAACCGACTGAGCCACCCAGGCACCCCTAAAGTGAACTTTTAAATAGTGATACCAAAGGGTGCGTTCCAGACAGCACGGTATGGTTATCTCTCTGGAGACCATCGGTGTATTCACTGTGTGGTCGGGTCCCACCGGTTCTGTGCAGCCCTTGGAAGGAAAGTTCTCCTGCCATTTTTGCTTAAGAGGAATATCCTGTGATTGTAATTAAGCAGTTAAAAATTAAGCTGTAAAAAAAAGTTAAGGGGCGCCTGGGTGGCTCACTTGGTTGAGCATCTGACTTTTGATTTTTTTATGGTCTCATGGTTCATGGGTTCGAGCCCTGCATGGGGCTCTGTGCTGGTAGCACGGAGCCTGCTTGGGATTCTCTGTCTTCTCTCTCTCTCAGCCCCTCCCCCACTCAGGCTCTCTCTTTCTCTCTCTCTCTTTCTCTCAAAAATAAACTTAAAAAATCTTTGTAAAAAGTTAAGCAGTTACCACTTGCACCTGTGTGTCAGCATGACCTGAGTTTGGGGGGAAACTATCATACAGAAATAAACTGGATCCTCAAATGAGTCTAAAATTCACATCTAGGGGCACCTGGGTGGCTCAGTCAGTTAAGTGTCCCACTTTGGCTCAGGTCATGATCTCAGGGTTCGTGAGTTCAAGCCCTGCCTCAGGCTCTGTGCTGACAGCTCGGAGCCTGGAGCCTGCTTCGGATTCTGTGTCTCCTTCTCTCTCTGCCCCTCCCCCGCTCATGCTCGCTCTCTCTCAAAAATGAATAAACATTGAAAAATAAAATAAAAAAATAAGATTCACATCTAAAACTCTCTTCTCAGCATTTGTGTTCTTTCTGCCTCATTGTTCTGATTGGCTTCATCAGAAGTAAATTATAAAGATGTTACCCTCGAGGGACGCGTTTCTAGGAATAAAATACTGCTTTTATCTGTTTGTCATCGTGGAGCTCTGTGTTAGATTTCCTTTGAAGGAGAAAGGGTTCTTGCTGCTAAAGAAGCAAGGTTAGCCACGTTATTGTCCAACATGGTACCTACTAGCCACATATGGCTCTTTACATTTAAATTAATTAAAAGTAAAAACTCCTTCTTTGAACTAGCCTCCTTTCTGGTGCACCTTTGGCTGGTGGGTACCCTATTGGATGGTGCAGATACAATCCCCATCATCATGGGAAGTTCTTTCAGACAGTGCTGGTGTAGGGAAGAGCTTGAGATGGAACCCAGAAGCCCTGGGTTCCAGTTCCAGCCCTGCTCTATGATTGGTGTGACTTTGGCCAGTCACTTCTCCTTCTGGGCCTCAGTTTTTTTCACCTGGAAATGGGAGAATAGCCTTTGTCCTTCTCACCTTGCAGGACTGGGGTGAGCATGGAGGCAGAGGGGCAGGGCAGGGCCCCTGTTGAAGCAGCAGGAGAGGAAAGGGCACTCCAGGGTGGGTTCTAGAGCTGAGACCTAGTCTGGCCCTGAGCTGAGAGGAGGGTGGTGGCCCTGGAGACACCGAGGCGGGAGCCTGGTCCTTTGGGGCAGGGAGACGTCCCATCAGCCCTCTCCCCAACTCTTTCCTCCCCTCCTAGGTGGTCTCACCTGCAGAGCCTCTCCTCCCCCTCCTGGGTGCTCTCACCTGCAGAGCCTCTCCTCCCCCTCCTGGGTGCTCTCACCTGCAGAGCCGGGAGGTTGGTGATGCTATAGCCAGCCTGGTTCCTTTCCGTGCTTTGTGCTACTTGGTGCTCCAGCCCTACCTTTTAAAGCCCTCATGGCCCCTCCCAAACCCCCATGAGGTCAGCCTCCCCCGAAGCAAGACAAAAGGGGGTGGGCACAGGTACCTCGCCCCTGCCCTACCCAGTCATTCAATCAGTCATCGCATGGGGGAAGGGAGGGGAGTTGACCTCCTAGCGGTGGGGGCAGGTGCAGGGTGAGCGCATTTCCTCAGCTGGGCACGAGGGCAGGCAGGAGACAGGCTCCCTGGGGTCGGGAGCAGTGCCCACTCCCCCCCGCCCCCGTGCCCAGTCCTTGGGGTCACAGTCCTGGTGTGCATCATCCCTCCGGTATGTCCAACTGGGGGGCAGATGAGACAGATGCCCCTAGTGACCTTGGATTCAGGGGAAGCGTATTTCTCCGTACATTGGTGTTTGAAGAGCAGGGAGTGTGTGGATGTCGGGTGATGTATTGATCCCCTGTCCCCCTGCCGGGCTCTGCAAACAGGACGTGAGGTAGTTATTGGGGGCAATGGGCCGTGGGCTGATGGCCCCCGCGCTCTGCCTGGGGGCTGCATCCTGGTTGCCTCTTCACCTCCTTTGCCTGGAAAATCCTGAGTGTACCCCTCTCCCCACCCCCCCATTTGTGCCCTCTGTGCTGGCTGGATTCAGCTTGCAGCTCCTCTCAATCCCAGGTCTGCCCTTTATCCCCTGCCTCTTGGAAACCCCCTCCCCGGGGCAGTTGCTTCAGGCCCCTATACTTGGAGACTCCCTCCTTTCATTTTCAAGGGAAGATAGCAATCTGCATAATGCACTCACCACCTTTCAATATAAAAAGACATCTTTTTTTTTTTTTAACGTTTATTTATTTTTGAGAGAGACAGAGACAGAATGTGAGTGGGTTAGGGGCAGACAGACTGGGAGACACAGAATCTGAAGCAGGCTCCAGGCTCTGAGCTGTCTGCACAGAGCCCGACGCGGGGCTCGAGCTCACAAGCTGTGAGATTATGACCTGAGCTGAAGTCAGACGTTCAGCCGACCGAGCCACCCGGGCACCCCTAAAAATACATCTTTTAAAAAGTTTTTAAAAAAATGTTTAGTTTTGAGAGACATAGAGAGAGTGCATGAGCAGTGGAGGGGGAGGGGGAGAGAGAGAGAGAGAGAGAGAGAGAGAGAGAGAGGAAGACACAGAATCCGAAGCAGGCTCCAGGCTCTGAGCTGTCAGCACAGAGCCCGACATGGGGCTCGAACCCACAAACCTCGAGATCATCATGACCTGAGCCGGAATCGGACGCCTAACCAACTGAGCCACCCAGGTGTCCCTAAAAATACATCCTAAAGTGGTTAGCAAAGAGACTAAAGAGTTTGCTCAAGATATGCCAGAAAACCAAACAAATAGTGTGCTTGTTGACTTATTTGATGAATTGCCACCTTGACCTGGTTTGGACAGATGTAAGTAGCTCTAGGCTGTTTTTGATTTTTCCAGAGTTGGCATTAGAGATTTAGCTGTTGTTCATGCGTCATCATGGCCCCTCCTTTTCCGGGGGAGTTTTGATGCCCGTTGGGTCCTGGATAAGGGGCAGTGGTACCCACGCTCACAGCCAGCCTTGCTGAGAAATTAACAGGTGATGAAGCAGGCTGGGAGGTGTCCATGGCAACGAGCGAGCAGAATGTTCTGGTGAATAACCACTCTAATTCAGAGCAGGGCTCAGTGACTCAGCGGATGAAATAAGTGAAAATGACAAACCCAGTGCAGGCACTGGTGGCAATTAATCGAAACCAGAATCTTAGAGGCAGAAGGGCCTTTGAGGGGCCTTGGGAGACAGGGTGGCATGGGGAACAGCTCTGTTCACACGAGAGAGGCATGGAGACATTCGTGTTGCCATGGTAACAAGAAACGAGAAGCTTTCCGCAGAGTCTTGGTTGCACCGGAACCCAAGACTTGTGCTGTGGAGGGGGTTATGCCCACCCCACTCCCCCTCCCCGGTTCTTCTTCACAGGCTGGTCACACCAGCTGGGGACAGCACCAAACAGATTTGTGTATCCCACTCAACAGGCGACTGCGGGCACTGGCGGGCAAGCAGGGAGGGCTCTGCCCCGAGTGGAGAGACAGCCTCCCCCCAAGGTGCTCATAATCACCAAACTGCATGTTCTGCCCTCCCGGGAATCGTGTCCAATGGGAAAGAAAAGGGTTTCCTGGCCCCACCCTTTTCCAGATGTTGAGCTTTGGGCAGATCTCTCCTCCTCTGAGCTATTTTCTTCTCCAAGAAATGAGGAAAATAACTTGGGTGTGTGTGGGGGGGGGGCGGGGAGAGGAGTCTTGTGAAGGTGATGTGCAGAAAACACCACGCACAGTGCCTAGAACATCGTGAGTTTGTATCCTCTTCGGGCCTCAGTTAGCCTCGTCTGCGAAATGGGAATCATTCATTCCTACCTCAGAGGGCTGCTGTGAAGGGGAGGGGTCACAAGGTCTGTGCACACGCTTTGCACACATCACAGAGCTCCTCCTTTCCCAAGGCTTATGGAGGGTGATTCCCTAAAAAGCACCGTGTGTGAATCTAAGGTTTTCCCTCCCGCTGGCCGTGACTCAGAGGGACACTTGTCCTGGGCTGCACCCGCAGGCGGTGGCAGGGATGGAATCTGTGGAAGCTGGATCTCTCAGAGGCCAGCACCGACTGATGTATGGACGATTTTGGAACTGGTGAGGCCAGAGGGGACTCCTGGCTCCAACACTTTGACTAGCTGGGCGACCAGAAAATCAAGTTTCTGAGTCTACCAAATTGAAGATCATATCCCAGACCCTGGGGCCAGCTCCCTCCCTCTCCCTGTGGGCCCCGTCCTTCTTCTCACAAGAGTGACAATGCTGTGTGCTGGGCTGACAATCTCTCTGCATGAATAAACGTAGTTGTTCTTCACCATGGTCCTTGGATGTAAGGACTAGTGTGTCCCTGTCCCACAGGTGAAGAAACCAAGGCTCAGCCAGGTGAAGCAATCCCTGTCCTGGGTTTACAGGACCAAGGAGATCTGGGCCTGAAACTCCTAGTTCTGGCATCTTTCTCCTCCCAGGAG